AATGCTTATGCTATACTCATAAAGAAAGCCACTAGCTTTAAACAATTTTCTAATTTACAATACTTCTTCCTTCCCCACCCTGCCACCAAGACATTCAAGTTCTAAGACACTATTTTAGAACAGAAATTTTCAACAATAAGGCATATTTTATTATGAAGATACCTTCTGCTGTTCCGAAAGTCAATAAAACAAAGATTCTGGAACATTTCGTCATGCTATGTTACTATTATCTTATGGTTTCTCATAAATTTATTGTGACTGTTGACATTAACAATGACTGCTAAACATATAATTTGTGGGAAAAAAAAATTCTGCATGATTTTGTTAATTTGTGTTAAATGCTAAGTGAAGCTTTATACAAGCATACTCTTGCACTAATTTTTCAGTATCCTGACCCATGTTACAACAAAAAAATTTCCTGTGGTTACAGTAGTGAATGAATACTGGAAAACTGTAAATTGTTAACATTAATTTTATCTGTTTTCACATCTCAATTTGAAACAGAACAAGTGTAAAATATGTAGTTGCAAAGTAAATATTTAATATTATGACTTTTTTTATACTGTAACACTTAAATACCCAGCTCTTGCTAGTAAAATCAGAACTCTATTTATATTCTCATTTATTGAGATCTATCTGTACAAACTATATTAAAATACTAGCCTTAATGGCATAAAGTAATGCAATTAAACTAGGAAATGCACAAAATAGAATTCACACTTGTGCTACCTTATCTCTTTTTTTAAGTTGCATGTTTTACAGTGCTTTTCTGCTTCTGCAGAAGTTTGGAAGGACTCCCTCTCTCTCCTCAGAATCTAGGATGGCAGCTGCAAGGTAATAAAGTCCCTTTCTGAATATTAATGTTGGTTGATTGCAAGTGAGAAAAACAAGAAAAAGCATATGTCCATCAGCTGCAGGCTTCTGCCACACTGCAGAATCAACATTAAGCAATGCCCCTTTGTCCTGAAAGCACAGGAGAAAAAAAAAAAGTGGGAAAGGTGATGATGTTTTAAAAATACCTGGTTTAAAGAACTTGAGATGCTGCAGGTCATCAGGTTTTTTGTTTAATGTGCAAAGACTTAAGTCTTATTTTAATGACCTGCATAATACTGATGTTATCTGAACTGCACAGCAATTCATATACCAAAAGATAAGAACTGTTAGAATCAGAAAGATATCAGAGTAAAAAATGGAAGTGTAAGCCAGTCATTTTGATTTTGAGGGTCTGCAACAGATCAGTGATCTCAGGTTTGCTGTTGGGTTTGGTTTTGGTTTAATGATATGACTGCGGTATGTGCTAAATTTTGCCAGATTTTCCCATGTACACAACTGAACTCATTACTCAGATGTGTTTTTGATGGCTTCACGACCAAATGGTACAAAAAGTGAACTCAGTGGTTCAGTAGATAAAGTCCTCTATAGCAACACAAACTCAGTACACTGGCATGCTATTAAAAGAAACTCCAATACCATAGCTGTTCTGTCAAATAAAAGGATGACATAAAGGGCTACATGGTAGTCATGACATTCTTTTAAATATTCTGTACTATATATAGTGTGCTTGATGAAGGCACCCGCAACTTTCCTGTCTGTGCATAACCCTGATTGATTGACTTTGCTGCTGAGAACCTAGATCAAAGATGACGAACTTTCTGGTTCATTATGTGGCTGCTGTCAAATGTATTTAAAACGTCAGTTGTGGATCATGTCAGCTAAATTTCCATGGGCATCAAACTTGGCATCAAGGGCAACTGCTTGCAGTAGTCGATTTTGATGATCAAAGATAGATCAAAGGGAGGGATGATGGTCACGCAATCAGCATATGCACAACACCCAGAACCACTGCAATTACTGTGAGCTAGATCTTCCTTCTTCAAATACATGCATGCACAGATGGATGTCAGTCCTGTCGTCATTTGTTTTTGAAAGTGAGAGACCCCAAAGTCACTCAATTGAGGACTTAAGAGTTGTTCAATCAAATTAATCACCTGACCTAGAAGCTGGGATCAGATAATAATGCTTAATGAACATATTAATTAAACTACAAGCAGGTGCTCGGCAAGTTTCCACATTACCACTGAGAGTTGTGCCTTGCTGTTCTCTTATACCATCTGGAATAATAATTTTAAAATAATACACGCTCTCTGAATGCAATCAGGTAAATTGATACTGTTGCCTGCTTGCATTTGGTAAATCTTAAGGTAGTACACCCTCCCCCTAACTTAAAAACAAAAGAGCATCCAAGGTATGGTAACTTCATTGCAACAGATCCATAGGATTTAAAAAAAACACTGGTAAATATGCTGATTAATCACCAAATAGAAATTAGATAGAAATTACTGTTTTTCTGTCTTCATGAAATATTCTGGTCTGCAAGGGATTATGGCTCCCTCTGAAACAATTACCACTAAATTGGTAGTTTTAAAGAACAGGGTAACTTCAATCTGATCGAGACATCATTAGCTGCAAGGAGTAAATTAAAGCTGAATTCTGTTGCAAGTGGAAAAGCCAATTTCAGTCCTCTGAGGAATCTATTAATCGTCTAATGAAAAAAACCCACAGAGGTCGTCTTTTGTTTTTTTTACTGGAGAGCTGCATGTCAATAATGCAACTATACATGGACTTCAGTAGCACTTGAAGTCATCAGTAATTAGAGGCATAGACTCATCCACCATACTACAGTACTTCCAGGAACTTCAGAAAGAAAAATATACCTACAAAGCATATTGCTCCCCTCGACCCTTCTTTCTGCCAACAGACTAGGAAAAGGTAATACTACTATAATGACGTATAATGAGGTAATACTACTGTAATTGTAACAGGACTTACTCACAGTAGACTCCCACTAGTGACCATCAATAAAGAGGCATTAATTTGATCCACGTCTGCCAAATCATTAGGAAAAACCTGAATGGCAGCTGGTGCTGCTTTGCCCTTTACACAGAGAGGGGAAGAATAAGATGCAAAAGTCACGTTTACTACCCCACGTAGGTACTACTAGCACAACCATGGCAATGCACAGGGGAAGTCAGGCATTTGAACCATTAAGAATCACAAGTTACTGCAGGAAAAAATGCCAAGGTCAAATCCTACTCAGCTCATCTGCATACTGTTGGTTTGCTACAGTATTATTCTGTATTTTCAGCTTTAAACCGATGCGTCATGTTTCTCAACATTTAGTCTGCTGCTTTGCTTTGTTCAGTGATCACTGAAGTAAACCCTGAGCATCAGACACCAGAACTCTGCAATGACAGGAAGGAAGTAAGTATCTGGTTATGTTAGACTGAATAAAAAGAACTGTTGCACAACTTCAGAGGTTCTTTTAGACTCTTGTTTCCATCTGATATAGATCAGCTTCTTTGTCTGTAGATTAGAAAATGCTGATGCTTTTCATGAGCAGAAACTGTCATTCCCCCAAGCTGTAAAAGATAACTTGCAACACTCCAAAGTAAGAATTTGCTGTGAAAATTTACTTTTAAATGCATACCAGAAACAATCCAAACTGCCCTTACCAGTTTGAAAAAGGAAAAAACATGCAGCTGATGAGCATGTCAAGAAAATAGTAGGTCTTCATGAAAAAAAAGTGCGTGTAATGCAGGTTGCGAACAGTGGTATGGCCAGTATTGCTACTCCACAACTCACTGGGCAGAGCGACCTTCTGCTGCCCTGTTCAGAAACTGACCTGAGCTGTGAGATAAGCTCCCACACCAAGGCAGCTGGGACCAGCTGGCTGATGAGGCTGGAGGCAGACAGCAGGAAGACCATCCTGGCTTGTGGGCATGGGACTGGCATTTTGAAGCGTAGGATAGAGAGTAAGGTTAGGTCCTAGTTTGAGGGCAGGGAAAGGAGGATGGAGGCATGGCACAGAATTAGCCACCACCACTGTAGTAGCTGCTGACTGCACCCATAACTGCTGCTGTCATCACAAGAACTTAGGAGATCATCAGCAAAATTTCAGCAAATGTTTCTATACGTGTGTCAAACGTGCTGTGGTCAACAACAATGGAAGATGAAAAGTATAAGAGAATGGCATAATTTGGAATTAATTCTAAACAAACAAACAAACTCTGTAACAATTACTGTAACAAAACTATTTATGATCTTAATGTAACAATATTTGTTGTAAAATAAATACAGTGAGTGAAAAGGTTAACAGCACTGTCTTAATTTCAGTCTCACTGACAAGGACTTATTTTTTTATATGCCCTTTCCTAAATTAAAAACAAACAAAAAAGGAATCTAAGTTTTTGAAATATGTTCAAACAACTTCTCAAAGTTTCTCCATGTCTGTAAATAAATTTTATTCTATTTATCTCCAAAGCCATTTTCATGAATTAACAACAAACACTTATTGAAGAGATCTTAAATTTATTAGGTATTTTTATTGCAACTTTTGTAATAAACAAGACAAATATGTACTCAGAAAAACTGAACCCAGTGTATCAGTTAATTTTTTCATATTTATACTTTTAATATATTCAGTATTTCTATAAATTCAGATATTTTCATTATGGAGTTTTGTAAAAGTGTATCTGCTTGAAATCACTATGCAATTTTCCAAAACACCAAACCACCTCCTGCAAGAAATTTTCTTTGGCTTTCTACCACTGTTTTTAACAATTACTTCATGGTAGGAAACTCCCTATCTGGAATTATATTGCATCTGATTAAAACCCTATAAACTTCCAAGAAACTTTCCCCAGGTAACTTTGTCTCTTACATATGTGTAAGTTTTCTGGCCTGCCTACATTGTTTCTTTGGCTGCAATATAACGGCTTCTTCAAATTTTGTATAATTTGTGGATTTGCTATACAATCATAAAGTGGCAAGATTTATTATATTTATGGTGGTGTTTTAAAATAATTTATTTCATCAGTCAATTTTTAGTCCATGTGACCACTTATACTGAAGTCAGTTGCATTACTAATGAAAACATTCAGTAGCTATGCATATACAAGTAACTGAGTCTTCAGATCTTCACTGAATGTGCAATATTACAAACACAAACTTGACAGACACTTTAATTATGCATTTTACAACACAGAATTAACAGGTTATTAAAGCCTGCATATACTAGCTACAGTGCGTAAAGGGGATACCATTTTGAATTTCAGCGTAACAAAACATTTATGCCATGGTGGGTTTTTGAATATGAAAATCCTATTTGCTCTTAAAACAGTTTCTGCAAAAAGCCACACAACCCAGGTCCTGATAAACATTCATGCCTATGAATTATATCCATTACTAGAACAATTTTAATACAGTAGGCAGCAATTATTCTCAATGCCTCTTAAAACTTGTACCAAAAAATATACATTTTCCATAAAATCAAAAAAATAAAATATCTGAAAGTGTTCTGTGATAAATCTAGAAAAAGAGGAATCCAGTCTTAAAAGTTAAATTCTGCTCTTACATACACATTTAAATTGAGACCAATGCATGATATTTGTACAGCTGACAGAAGAATTTGACTCAGTCTGCAAGATTAAAATACAAAAGTTATCAAAAGTATGGGAACTCTTATTTCAGGAGTTTAACTTTGTCCTTTAAAACTTTAAATTTGGGATTGTTATTCACTTTCTTATTAAATATAACTAGAATATCCTCTTCTGATTTGTGATGTTCACCAGCTATTGCGTAATACTGAGCTATAACCTGCACAAAGACAGAGAAACGGTTTTGAGTTAGTAAAGATGATTCCACTTTAAGCAATAATACATTCATGTTACTCTATTAAAAGTAGCATGGAATCTATTATGCTATTATTCCTTTGCAGAATTAGCATGGAATTTCTTCTGTAGTCCAGTAAGCAATAAAGAACATGTCCTTCAGTTGACATTCTGTTAATTTATATTCTGTTAAATAATGTCAAACTTTTTGCTTATGTGAGCCAGGATTTTATAAACTTAAGCATTACAGAAAGCAATTCATAAGACCAAAGGAGATTAAAAAAACCCATGTTGTACAGTACCTTTTTTCTTAGTTTTTTAATTGAAATTTCATTGTCTGGAGCCTGTTTCAGAACAGCTTTGATCGTTCCTTTCCAGTTGAATTTACCTAGAAAATAATTAGGTGTACAACATCATTAGTAAAATTAGGTATTTCCAGGTTTTCTTCTCTATTAGGAACCAGATCTTCAATCTCCTAATTTTGGAACCAGTTCAGCTACCACAACAGTTGTTATCTTACTGACCCTACAACAGCAGGGTGTCTTAAGCATGAAGTCAGGTAGGCTGTTTCTGAAGATCATAATAGGATAGACATGAAGAACCAACATACTACTTGAACAACTACAGTCAGGATTGCTTTTACTTAACTTGTGTGCTTCAGCTATTAAGCAGCAACTCTTACATAATACAGAAATAGTTGGGAAAATCCTGCCTCCTCACCCTTAGAGCACAGGTAGGCAAATTTCACACAGTACCCACTTCAGAGGTCATTACTTGGTAGTTTCCAAATAAACAATCTGTATGTTCAAGTAGACATTCCCCAACAGTAATAGTGTGTAGGATAATGGGCTTAAACAGGTTTAAGCATAAATGAAGGTCCAACACAGCTGAAGTCCAATTTGTGATGCACTGAGCAAAAATGGGGATACAAGAGATACAAAGAGATAGGAGAGCTGTTACCCTTTTTCCTCTATTTTGGCTAATGTGCATGGCAGCGGGGAAGAGACCTGCTGTGGTGAAACAAACATGTCAAATTCCTCACCGCCCAGTGAAGGCAAGTGTAGCCAAAGGTTGCCAGCCCAGCAGAAGCAACAAATGAGAGAAGTAATTCAGCATCAGGTGTTAAGTGTAGCACAGGTTACTTACTCTGGAACAGATACACATATTGAATTTACATACGTATATGTATACTGAGGCACAATTTATTTCACGGCTTGCTGCAAAAGCACTGTATTTATATTCTGCACTAGGTCTTTTGCAGAATAGTTTTGTAACTATCTAAACTCCCCCTTTAAGAATACCTTTATCTGTTCCCGCATTTTCTTCATTGCCATTGGTGTTTTCTGTTTCCATGTCTTCTGAAACATTTTCAGTTTTCATTCTCTTTGTTGTGATATGAGGTTCGTCTAGAGGTGGAATTGGATAAACATACACAAAAAAATTATAAAACTAGAAGAAAAGTTCTGACGTGACTTAAAGTTTTTGTTCTTGTAACATGAGCTTATATTTGCTAAGAGGTTCAGATTCTATAAAAGGACTGTGCAACCACAGTGTTAAAAAATAATCTAATTTTTATATGTAACTTACTACTTTACAAATTCTACTTGGGTAGATTATTGAGCTTTAAGGCATTGAAAAAAAGCATCTTGAAAAAAAACAAGAAAGGTGTAGGATGGATACCTTCTGCATGTTTATGTTTGCGTTTCTTTACATTTGTTTCCTCTTCTGTTTCACCCTGATGGCCATTTCCATTTATTTCAAATTCATTCTCCAAGCTCTCCTTTCCTTTTTTGGACTTTTTACTCTTTTTTACTTCTGACTGGTTTTCTAATTTCAAGTCTTTTTTCTCCTTCTTTTTGTTCTTTTGTCTCTCTTCTTTTCGTTCTCTCTTATTCTTTTTCCTCTCAATTTTATCATCTGTAATTCCATTTTCTTCTGCCATTGTTTTTTCCCCAGTTTCTGCAGACTGCCCCTCCTTCTTCTGTTGTGGTTTGTCTTGCTCTTTTTCACTTGAAATCTTTTGTTGAAAGACAGATTATTACAATTTTTACATGCCTTTTCTGACATTGCAACTTTTCTCTGCTACATCATTCATGAAGAATACTAATATCCTGAATTCAATAAAATTGCTTACACGTGGTGACATCAGTTACCTGAGAAATAGTGCTAAATAGTGGCTGATTCTTCTTTTAACTTAACAGCCTAAATGCTAATTACCTTAACATCACAGAAAAAATGTTATCTAACAACATATATAATTTCCACTTGAAATAATTGTCTATATTTTTTTTAACATACTTGCTAAACATAATTAAGGGAGAGACAACTCTTTGATTTACACAGACAAAAATACAGCATATTACAGCGAGATACAGAACCTATTCCCAAATACATGGACCTTGAATAATGACCTTAGCTTTGCCATCCAGTTCCCTGTCTTGGGATATGTCTGGGACAACAAACTATTATTGCATGATGTCAATAAAGGTGCTGCTGGTTGTTTTAATTGTACTTTTCTCACCTTAACGTACTAGGGTTTCTTTTAATGTTCCTGGACTTGTAATAAATTTCTTGTAGGAAAATTAATATATTAATGAACATTTTTATATTTAAATTAAACTTTAATTTTATTAATTACAAGTGAAACACAATTACTGAAATGTTAATGTGGCTATTTAGAAAGAGAATACATGTTTATAGAAGGAACTTAATACCAACATGTTTTTGTAAAGAGTAATTTCAATTCAATTCAAATTCCACTTAAGAACTTCCTTTGAGTACATATGCTTCAAGGTATGTATTACAAAGACTATCTTGAGATGTTTTTAAGATCTCTTGAAGGTGTGTTGAAATGATCTGAGCAATAAAGCTTTGTTATATATTTTACTTTAACGCTATATTCTATGGAAAATGTAAATTGTTTACTTGTGTTTAAAATAATTGTTCTGAGTCAAGATTTATTTTTTTAAAAAATCAGTTTAAATCAAGAGGGAACTGCTTATGACTTTAGTAAAGTTGTATTGACTCACAATTAATGTTCCAGCAAGACAAGGCACTTGAAATTCAGTGCCCCGAGTTTATGTTATATTCATATCCTTTAAAAAAAGGTATTTCTGTCCTTCCTGGCTCTTATATTTGGATTGTTCAGAAAAACTACAAATAGATTTAACTGGAATCATCAAATCAGGAACATGAATCATGATCAACAGGGGATTAATGTCAAAGCTATGCCTGCACTCTTCCTCAAAAGAAGCTGGGGGGAGGGGGAGAGCATCTTTACATCAACAGAGAAATAAGCTTCTGTAACAGCTTTCTAGTAGCAGTAATAGATGTGAACAAACATTCAAAACAACACCCTACCAAAACATGCTAAACTAGTACTGAAATAGCAAAGAATCAGGCACTGAGAAAAAAGGTCAGTGTGAGTCCACGATTTGGACACAGAAGTGCGAGGAATTTGCACCACAAACTGAAGGATCTCATCTCTCTCCACTAATAAAATAGGTGAACCAGGTGCTGTTTATTTCCCACTCCAATACACACAAATTTGAGGCCAATAAAGTTCTGAAAAGACATCGTTTTATTCCTTCTTAGTGCGTGGTGAAAGACTGGAACGAAAGATAGAAGTAGTGTTTTTCCCTTTCCTTATGTACCAATAGCATAGAATAAAGTTAAATTAACCTTCTGATTATTGTGTCACCATCATGCCACTGTGTCCAGGTTTTTAATCACAACGTGCCCAGTATGCATAACTACTTCAGCAACAGTATGTTCCACAAATTAGCAATTTAGCCTAGGAATATTACATTATAACATAATCCACTGTAACAGTGGGAGACAATATTTCTGCTAACGTCTACAAAGGAGTCTGAAAGGCTTTCCTTCCAGCATTTTTGACTGCATTCCTGTTGTATGATGTTGTACCTCTAACTTAACTTACGTTTCTGGTTGCTTCAGAGAAAATATCCCACACCTGGTCTTGCAAAGTGCTGTCAGTAATTCTCAAACTATTCTTCATCCAATTCTGTGCAGGAAAAAAATACAATAACTGAAAAGGTGCATCTCTGATTTTTTTCCTGATTACCCTACATTTGGTTCTTCGTTTTATTTTTCACTTAAGAATATAATCACTTCTTCTGATTAAGATCTGGTTAGATGTTTAGTCTCTATGAATCTCTTAAACATCCATGCTAAATGGTCTTGCATAATGCCTCCATAGTGTTATGAGGCTATACCATGCTTCTCAATTGCCTCACCAACAGTAATCCAGAGGTAAATACAGGGAAAACATAATCCTCAAGCTTTTGAATACAGCTGGTTATGTTAATGTCCTACCAAACCTTCTCACTGTTTCCATGAGTTAAAACATTAAGGATCTGATCTTATTTATTTATTTGTGTACTGGACAAATGGTCATGCTCCTAAATGGATACCTTAGTTTATTACAGAAAAGTAAAATTTAAGCAAATATGTCAATGCAAACATTTGGAAATCATTGGGGCTATTGCAGGAGTTACTGCTGAAAATGAGAACAAAGCAGTAAATTTCTACTGATAATATGCTCACACTATCAGCAACAGATCAACTTTCAGGAATGTGGGATTCTAAGTAAAACCTAATGTAACGATTTTTGCATTGCAATGAAAATCCCAGGAAAGCTGCCTTAGTAAATTGGAACAGCTAACTGCAAAAACTTTTCATCTTCCACTGCAACATTCTTACAAAAAAGAAAGAGGCTTCTTGACAATATCACTTTCCCTGCTTAGAACATTAATTTTGTAGAAAAGTATTCTAACCTTCAGCTCGCTAGCAGCAATTTCACCGCAGCTCTATTAGGTTCTATGTGAGTGCTTTGGAAGCAATCATGATCTTCTCTCAGCCTCACAATCTGAGGCACAGAACAGGGAGGAAAAAAAAAAAAAAAAGGCCAGCTTGTCAGTAATTCTTTACTGAAACCACATGAAACATTTGGAATTTGCTTTGGCTGTGATGCAAAGTTTAGTGAAGCATGCAGTGTGGGAGATTCTGTCAGAACACTGAGCAACAGGAAAACTCTCAAAACAGTATCTTGCCTTTACCAGGAAAAAACAAAGCCACAGAAATAAGAATCCTTTAAAAGTGTGTCTAAGAATTTGGACATTCAATAGAAATTGCAAATAGGAAAAAAAGAAAGGTATTAAAAAAAGAACAAGCCTACACATGGAGATTAAGCTTGAATGGTGAGTCTCTGCCTTAATACCTAATTAAAAAGGCACACAGAGAGTCCTTTTAAGCAAGGAGATTCACTTTACCAACATTGCCTATTTGAAACTCAGCTATTACACCATCTATTTACCAATGCCCAAATAAGCAGTTTGTCCTGCTTTTGTTAAAAGAGAGTGGTGCTCACTAAGAAAGTGTATTTTTAAGCTTACTGCATGGATTACTACAAATCTCTATTAAAACATACCTGAAACTTTACTTTTTTTCTTGGAATATTATCAAAGACACGCATTTGCTCCAGAATGTTCCGCACTTTAGGGCTTATGTTTGGCTTCTTCATTACTTCATGAATTTTCTGAATGAAGAAAAACAGAATTAAATCAGCAAAGCAGCACAATGATCAAATGATACATGCAAGGTACGCAAGTCGAAAACACATTGGATAGAAATCAGCCAGTCCCCACAGCCTGTATAGCCTGCTCAAAAGAACTGTTCAATACCCACAAGAAAAACACTAACCTTTGGTTTTATCATAGATCATTAAGATGTGTCAAAGTTATCTATATAAATATTTATACCTATATAGTAAGCAGAGGCAAGCAGGACTGCCCACCAATGCTTTCTGATGTACAAGTTACAACCTGTAATAAAAACATTTAAAAGTAAAGTAACTGTATCTCATAGGAGATTCTTGCAGTGTGAAAAAGACCCACATTAAGAAAAGCAATAGTCAACCAATTGGTTTTTGCAAACTTCTGGAGTTAATTGTGAAAAATCAGGCTAACTTTGAGGCTACAGTTTGACATACATTTCTTTTGGCAGCAGTGCCAGCTTCAACAACCGTTAATCCCTGTAAGAACAGCTCAGACATATTCCTATGCTACGAGTGCCAGCACAAGAGAACAGAGGAGGTTAGGCCAGGGCCTTATGGCAGTTACTTTAACAGCACTGCTGCTTGTGGGGGAAAAAAGGCTCGGAGCTTCCCAATATTTAAAGATGTGTCCACTGGAGAGCTTTCCTGTACTTCTGAAAATCTGTTTACTGAAAGGTTTTGTGGATGTGTTAAGACTACCAGAAAAGGACGTTCTGTAATAATCCCTCACTTTTCTGTGTAGAAAGTACTTACTGTTGAGGAAGGCTAACAGTTTTCGTAAGCAATAGCATTCACATCATACTGCCTTTGAACAATGTACATAAACAATGTTCAATCTCAACAATGGCACTGATTGACTTCAGTGGTATTATTCATATGCCTTGAGCACACATGTAGCTTAGTACTTTCTTAGTGTTCTATATGAGACAGAAACCAACAAATCCATGGATAAAGGTATCTACCTAATTATATCTAATGGGCTTTTAAAAATGTGTTTTGAGAGTTACTTCCTAAAACCTTTAAAGAAAACTAACAGCCATAAGAGGGTAGGTTCTTGCATAGGATAAGTAACTACTTGAAGGGTAGGACAGAAGGGGTAGGAGACATTTCCATCCATGCTGGGGCCTCTGCTGTTCAACGTATTTACAAAGTATCTGAATAGAGGGCAGGAAAATTTTCCTGATGCTATGCTACTCAGGCTGAGGACTGTGAAGAATTCCAGTAAGATCTTAAGAGAATGAGTGACTAAGTAATAAGAAGGTGAATTAAATTCAACACAAATTCATGTAAAGCAGCATGCATAGGAAAAGGAATCCTAACTTCACATCTAAACTGGCAGGCTTTAAGTCAATCACTGGAGCTTAGACACAAGATCTTGGGGTTAAAACAGCCAATTCCATGAAAATGCCAGCACAATGATCAGCAGCAGTCAAAAAAAAAAAAAAAAAGTAGATCAACCAAAAATCAGTAAGAAAGGAATTAAGAAGGACACGGAGAACATAATTATGACACAGAGTAAATCTACGGTTCATCCATATCTTGAACAGTGTACGTAGTTATTGTAACCTCATTTCACAAGGATACAGTAGAACTGGGAAGACTTCAGAGGACTAAAACTATAATTCACATATGAAGAACAACTGAGCGGGATAGGACTTTTCAGCCTGGAACAGAGACTACGAGATGGGGAAAGATGCCTGACAGGTCTACAAAAGTATATGTGGCATGAAGAGGGTGGACAATGATCAGTGCCTCTTTGTATGCAAGAACTAGGGAACATTAAATCGAACTAGTACGAGAGAGATTCAAACCAAACAAAAGGTGAGTTTCTTACCAGGATAAGCAATAGACCTACCAAGCAATTGCCAAAAGAAAGCCGTGGATACTGGGAAAAATAGATCTCTGGTTTGATCCAGTATAGCCTCTCTTGTGTCTTTAACAGTTATAAAAAATAGTTATTTATCATATCTGTATATAGTACAAACCTTACCTGAATCCACTCCTGTTGTTTAGCATCTCCTTTGTTAGTTTTGGCTTCAAAATCTTTTCCACCGTATTTCTGGTCTTCACTTACGCACTTCACGTGTTCCTTATAATCATCACCCCTGAACACAGGAGATTTTTAACTGTAGTTCACTGAAGTGTTTCAGTCCTTCAAACTATGCAGGACTTATGTAATCAACAAACGGAAGTAACAGATGGTAGCATCTATCATTTAAACCTTAACAGTGTCAACGCTCATATGAGTAAAGACTGATGTGCTTAAAGTACATGCTTATGAGACTGCTGACACTTCTGTCATGCTACAGTCTTCAGCGAAAATTTATGATTTACAAAATCAGATCTGAGTCTTCAGCATACTGCTTCTTTTCTTAGTGATGCTATAACTTATGCACATTTGTACATGTAATGTATGCACAGCTATTAACGCATATCTGTGTTTTACTACTCACATTGACATGTTTTAAAATTAGAAAAGCAGGTGAAAAACGCTTGCAAAAAACCTAATTCCTATGGATATACTAATGTGATAGCGTACTTCTGACCAATGTGTAAGTGCCCCCCAAAAGGAATTAGTGACGTAGATCTTAATCTTTTGTCAGTGAAGTATTGAGAAATATAATCATTATTTGAGGACAATCTTATTTTCTTATGCAAATTCATATACTTATATTTCGACTGCAGATAGCACTGCTTTCTTCCGAGTTCTGAGAAGTGACAACAAAATTCAGAATTTTTGATGTTATCACCAATCTCACTCTCTCTGCAGTAGTGGAATAAGTAACAGTTGTTGATGATCAAAAGCTGAAAGCATTGTCACTTATAACTGTAAAAGAAGAAACTGCAACTCTTGTTTACTGTGTGGTTTAGTTTGTCCTTGTGGTTCAAACTTGGATGATTAAGCTTGAAATTGTATAAAAAACATGTAGAATTTCTAAATACAAATAAAATTATTCAGAAATTGCCAAATTTAATTCTAATACACCATAGGAAAATCCTGTATTTGTGACAACCACTGCAGAGTGAGCAAGGCTATTTCCCGTCCTTTACCTACCAGAAATCCTTGCCACAATCCATGCAAGAAAGGCACTGACAGTTTCTGCAGATGTTCACGTGTTTTTCGACTTGCGCTTTCTTCACAGATTCTCCACACGCGTTGCATGTGAAAACGACCATGTTGGCGGTCGGTCGGTAGCTTCTATAAACTGGGTACAAACTTTTTCCTCCCCACACAAGTGCAGCCCTAGAAGAACAAGGAGGAGATCTCACATCTACCGCTTGAAAGAAGCGCTTGGACGGCAACTGTGCATCCACTCACAGAAAGTCTTAAGCAGTTCGATGTCCGCGCGCAAAAGATCAGAAGGAAAAACTCATTTTGCCCGATACCTCGAGCACAAGGGAAACCAGTAACGCTGAAACTAGTAAACCCCCCCCCGCCCCATGCCGACACGCTTCGCAGGCGGCGGCTCACGCTTACCCGCCGCGACCCCC